TGCCATGTTCACAAATATACAGTATGTGTATGTATATATATATATACTGTATTGTATATGTTTTTTTTTTTTTTTACAGTTTCAGTGGTGTTTTCTTTTACAGGGTCAATCCCTCCAAAATTGATTGGTGAATGCTGGATAAACTACCCAACAATTTTCTATACTACATATCCTCTGGGGGATTGGAGAATCTCTGAGTTTCTGGGTCGGCATAATGGCTGCAGCCATTGCAAGAGGAATGATTTACTAAAGACAAAAAGGCTGCTCACTTTGCAAGGGATAATGCAAATTGCAGGGGGCGTTTTCCCTTAGCTTAGTGGCTGTGGCAAAATTTCACTTTACAAAGAACACCCAATTATGTGCAATGAAAATAAACTAAATTAAAAGGAAACCCTGTATTTTTGCTTGCACATGATTGGATGATGAAAGCCAGCAGGCTTCACCTCATTCACTAAACTAAGGGTAAACTTTCCCCTCTAAGTGCAAATTCCCTTGCAAAGTGGACAGCCTTTAGCAAATCAACCCTATCGTTTTTTCATGTATCTTATATAATGGTGAATGTACCAGACATAGTGAGAGGATGAGAAGGTGGGCTGGAACAGAGCCAATAACTATGGTGGAGCCCACCCCACTGGTGTCCTAGAGACTCAACCCATCTGACCTTACTTAATTGAAATATCAGTTTCGGTTGGACTGTCCTTTTAACTTAAAATTATGGTTTCATCAAACTTTCCCGAACAATAAGATCTCTACATGTACATGCCTTGAAGAAACATACATATAAATGGTCTCACTGATGAACTGTTAGACTGATAGAAATCCTTCTGTGTGTAACCTACATATATCAATTTATCTACAAGTGCCTACTTATCTCTTGCATATTAAAGCAAGCCAATCACATCTAAAATTGCAGTGTTTCAAATGCCTCTACCAGGGAATAAAAGCAACTGGCTGCAAGCATTGCTTCTTGATTGCTTTCACGCTATGAATGCAAAAGGACCTTCCTGAAACCTGATGGAGGAGCATTAAGGACAGTGTCAAAAGAGACCCTGCATGCAATAAAGGCCCAGCATGCTCTTCTTCAGAATACCAGCCCCGAAAATTAATTTCTACAAAATGAGGCAAAGCTGTCATTACCAACTTGTTAATTTATGGGTTTAACCATGTGTATGTTTTATTGAATTCATTTCAACCAAGAGACTTTTTTTCAGGCAATTTACATAACACGAGCTTCCAAGGCATTTTTCAATAAAGAATTCACAGCACGATCTTCATTTTATATATCCGTGGTGGGAATTTAGTGCACCAGTAGGAAAGCTGTTTTCCCGCCAGCTCTGTGTATCGTAGTCTGCAGACTAGTCTGCCTCGCAGCTTTTACTTGGTTATACAACCTAGAAACTAAACAGCTGCATGTTATGTGGTCATCTTTTATGTGTTTTTGTAAAAAAATATGCTTGTCAACAGAGTGTATCAAAATGGACACACTGAACAGGTGTTTAAAAAGTGAAATATTTAGGGGATAACATATAAACACGGTATATACTGTATATATATATAGATAGATATATAGATATATATCTATATATATAAAATAAAGAAGGGCATTGCTGAACATACCAATCAGGTTAAAGGGAACCTATTATTTCTAACAACTTACACAAGGTGCATTACCATAAGCATTACCAAATCACATTCAGATGTATGGGCACCACTGTATTCCTTGGCAAATCCTAAGCACAGATTAAAGTGGACCTTCACTCAAAAATTACAGTTAACATCCCTGCAATCACCTCCCCTCATTTCTGCAATCCTTAATGCTGTCATACACGTTTTATTAATACTCCAACCCGCCCTCTGCCTCCATTTTTTGCTAAAGTGAGAATGACCTGTAACCCTCTCCTGAAGCCTCTGGGGATATGCACATCACATTTACCATGAGGCTTAAGTTTTCCATACAGTGGCTGGAGGAGGGTGGACCTGCACCTGGAAGAGGGCTGACCTACGCCAGGAGGAGGGTGGATCTGGTGGCACATGATGAGGGGCCACCTGCAAGTACCAGGAAAAGACATACGGCTCCCAATTACATTACAAAGGAAGATGGCAATGGGGGGCTCGAGTGGAGCAGCAAAGTGGCAGATCACAACAGGCACAGCAACCTAAACTAAGAGGAACAGAAGCTAAATGGGACCTCATGACTAATCAGCTGTGGGTCAGGGCATTCCCTGCAGGTCATTTACCTAATATAGCCATGTAACCATATAAGGTCAATGATGTCCTGCATCCCACTCCTTTGCTTACTTGCAGCTGTGGGTGGGAAATTCCTCAGCAACAGCTGACTGGATGGCAATGGAAGTAATTTTCTTCCGGGTCCAGAGAAGTTTCTTCCATGTTCTTCCATACTTCTATGTCATCATTGTGTGCTTAGCCATGTCCCCTTCAACCTACACCTCAAAGCTGTGCTGTGTCTGTGTCACAGCCAATTATACATTAAGAAAAACATGTATGGACTCTGGTTCCTCTCCAACCTACACAAGGCTATTATGTGCCATTATCGTTACTTGCCAATAGGAAAGGTTTTTTAGCTCCCAGCCTAGACAGGCAAGATCCCACTTTGGTTTCTGGTCACCAGTCTTTACTGCAGAGAACATATTTATGTAATTATTACTGGTATTTATATAGCACCAACAATGTATTCAGCGCTTTACAGTGCACATCCACATTAGTCCATGCCCTCAAGGAGCTTCCAATCTAAGGTCCCTATCTCACATGCATACATACGAGGGCCAATTTAGACTGGAGCCAATAACCTTCCAGCATGTCTTTGGAGTGTGGGAGGAAACCAGAGTTCCCCGGAGGAAACCCACGCAAGCACAAGGAGAACATGCCAACTCCCTGCAGATAGTGACCTGGCCGGAATTAAAATCTGGCCAGGTCACTATCTGCAAAGAGTTTGCATGTTCTCCCTGTGCTTGCGTGGGTTTCCTCCAGAAGCGCTAACCACTAAGCCACTGTGCTGCCACACATACATTGATAGCACTGTTGACTTGAAGCTGATCTTTTTCACATGTACAGTATATTTAACATACTTAGAGGGCTATAGTTCCTCTTTGAAGGTAATCCAAGATTCCATTTTCAAGAAATGTAGAAACTTCTAACTCCCATTCCTCGCATTACACATTTATAATGATAAGATAAATGATAAAAAAAATCAGTAACACTGAGGGAATTTTAAAAGTGTAAACGTACTTTGAAAGCCTTAGGATATGAAAGAGTTATTAATAATTTCAGTTTCTCCAGGATGATAATTGCTCCAATATCTAGGCTGAGTCTCTAAACACAAATAAATGAATGCTAAGCATAATTACATATTTTTATTACAATTTTCTACACGGTTATATGGGTTCTTATTGCAAATGTAAACATTTCCATGGAAATGAGTAAACATGCAACCAATAGGCCCCTCTCACCCGCTTGAAGACATGCTGGGGCTTGTAACCTTAAATTTATATAACCATGAATTTATTCTATAGAGTATATAAATATGCATGGGGTCCAATTGTTCAATGAAGGTGTGCACCAGAATTCTTTAACCCCCTATAGAAGAAGTGTACTTAGGCAAAATTTGTAGATTTGTAGATCCTTATTTATCAAATATAATATGAATCAAACTGATTTGTTGCTCTAGAATGCAATCCAGAATCTGAAGGAACAGAGAGAGCCTGTTATTGTGCAAATCTGCACTAACCCTGCAGGTGGAAGTGTCTGGTTTGGCTGGTGTTTCACTAGCTATAGAAATCAGCATATTTGCAAAATAAAACTTTTCTGTAAGATCTGCTATAGAGTTGCATTTTTGACTAGCTGTGTAAGGACTGGCGTGTTTCTTTTTACAAGCCCATGACTTGTGAGTGGCGTTAGCTTATATGTTTGCTTCCCTTCCCTGCCCTAGATCGAAGGACTTGTGATCTCGCATTTACCAGCACACAGGTAAACTTTCAACAATCACAATTTTTCATTTTTCTTTCTTTGCTTACCCCTGTTCTAGTAAAAGCCCTAGATCAGTATGACTTCTTAAAAGATCACTTTCATCATCATTTTAAAAAGAAAGGAGTTTGAACCTCATTTTGGGATAATGGGTGGTACCAAGCAAAGGGGAATGTGTAGGCTCCACATAATACACTTAACCCCAATTCTAGTCTATGTTTTATTGATCATCCACCACCTCCTGTTTTAGAAAAAAACTGCCAAGCAGTACTTACCCCCTCCACGCTCCGGGGCTGGGCCACAGGGAACGCAGGGGGAAGCACTGGAGTGTGGAGAGGTAGATTACTGCTTAGCAAAAATGTTTCTCCTCTCTGATCCAGTGCTGTTCCTTTAATGGGCTGCATAATGTCCATTCAACCCACTTCCCAGTGTGCCTAGGGTGTCAAAGACAGGCCACATGTAGCTGAATTTTCAAGTTTCCTTCACTCACATGAGATTACTGGGGCATGGGCACCGTTGGATGGGTGGTTCGTTAATACTGTTAGGCTTGGGTTCGGATAACCTGGAATTAGGCTTTAAACAAGAAATGTTTTGGATTTGTAATGGAATAGACATTGGTAATGGAAGTAATGGATTTTAGGAAGGCATGCTGCATTGTAAGAGAGTTAGGGTATGTATTTCAGATGTCTCAGTAGCTTTCATGTGTTCTATGTGGAGAATGTGTTGAATAATTCTTGCAGAGAATTGTTTAATAACTGAAGCACACAATGCTGAGAAAAAAAGTTGATTTAGGTTTATTATTTGAAGTAGTATTTTTCTAACACTCTGAATGATGTATTGTGCCACCAGTGTACAGTAATAATCCTAAATGCGTAATTCTCAGGGAATTCACATTATATGCTTTTCTTGGCAATTAGTTTCTGTAGCTTTTTTAATTATACATCAGTACTGATCAGGGTATTGCATTGGTGACAAGGCATGAGGATCAGGAAGAAGGCAAATGGATTCTGTATACTTACTAGTTTACGCTGGCACCACTGGCAGAGTCCGCACATGACAATAGTGATACTCAAGCTGAGGGCGAGGACACCGGAGACTATAATTACCTCACTGGTTGGAGATCCTGAAAGAAAAAGAGATCATATATGAACAGAGAAGGAACACTGATGGCTAATTACATAAGTGTAAAGAACAATAATATATGTGAAAAATATAAACACATAATGATAAAGTGTTTTGGCTCCAGCAGATCGATATTCAGTCATATATCAAGATCAGTATGATAGCTGTCACAGTGCACAAGGTAATTGCGTAACCCTTAACCATTGTGGGATTGGGCCTCAAGGTGTTTAGATCAACATACTGTATCAGTATATAGTCAAACTTGTATGTGCAACTTATGCAAAACAGTCGGAACATTGGAAGGTGACTTGTAATTTGTTGCAAGGCAGTTGGAGCTCAACTGGTATGGATTACAGCACGTCACTAGACCTCATATTCCTCCTGACGCCCTCGGAGCCGGTCCCGGGATCCAAGATGGGGTAACGGGTGTGTGAATTTAGCGGTTCTTTTCTGCCCGTGCGTGCCCGCTAGGGGGCGCGCGCGAGCAGAAAAAAATTGCCGTCTGGAGACGGCAACCCGCAGATGCTGCAGTGCCGTCCGTCCGTTTTTTTACTACGGGCGGACGGCAAGAGGTTAATAATGTACCGCAGAGAGCAAAAATATGCATCAATTCAAATATTAATTTTCATCTTTCATCAGTTTATGGAAATAGCATATATGTAAGGCAATTGCTGGTTGCTTCTGATGGTTAGCTACACATATCTATTGCTGCTTTACATTGTTCTACATTACTCCTAGTACTCCTAAATAAAAACTAGATAATAGATAAAACTGGCATGTTTACCTTTGATGTGATAACCTGCGTGTGGCTGAATTGTATGCAGTTTATTGCTGATTCAACTTAGATGACCTACATTGGAAGTACAAGCTGAAACAGTAATATCACAATGTCTTTCCAGTAAAAAGAAAAAAAATGTGTGTCTTTTTTCACTTTCTTATCCAGCCTTTTTACTGTAGAGGGATTTTAAGGCCCGGTTAAAGTAACGGTAGACTATAAGGCAGTATAAGCCATTATGACCATGAATAGGTTAAAAGCTTGTGCGTGAAGCCTAGAACTCCCTATGCTTTATGAATATTTATTAGGCTACAGAAGAGGGCAGACATATGGCCAAGTAACATAGTAGCCAGCTGGAAGCCTGTTAGAAAGCAAGAGGCGTGTGACACTACAGCCCCCAACTGAGCATCTTCCCCTTTATAGCATTCTATAATCCTTCACATCCCTCTCTATCTCTCCTCTCAGCCAGCTATATCCATCCCTCCCCTTACATTGCTTTCTCTCCCTCCTCGCACTGCCTTTCCCCGATCCTTCCCTCACACTGCCCCTATCTAGCCCTCCCCTCACACTGCTATTTGCTCCATCCATTCCACATTGTGCTTTACAACCCTACTTTCACACTGCTCTCTCTCCATTATTCATTTCACACTGCCTTTATCTAACCCAGCTGTCACACTGCTTTCTCCATTCTTTTTATCCATCACTATTTTTACACTGAGCTAACTCCATTTCTCCTCTCACAGTGCTCTCTTCATCCATTCCTTCTCTCTCTCCATCTCTCCTCTTACTCTGTTCTCTTCCATTCTACCTCTCACATTGCTCTCTATTCCCAATACTCCTCTCACAGTGCTCTCTTCATCCCTTCCTTCACACTTCCCTTTTTTCATACTTCCTCTTACTCTGCTTTCTTCCATCCTGCCTGTTGCAATGTTCTATCTCCATTCCTCCTCTTAAGTTTCTCTCCATCCCTTCTCTCAAACTTCTCTCTCTATCTCTCCATCCCTCCTCGCACACAGCTTTCTCTATCCCCATTCTCTTACAATGCTCTATCTCTATCTTTCCTGTCTGGTACATCTCCATCCCTCCTCTCGTACTTCTCTATTTATTGCTCATCTCACACTGCTACCTCTTTGTAACTTCTCCTTGACAATGTTTTGTCTCCATCTTTCCTCTCTGCGCGCTCTCTCTCCATAACTCATCTCCCACTGCTCCCTCTCCAATCTCTCCTCTCATACTGTTGCCTCTCCATCTCTCCTCTCACAGTGCTTTATCTTCATCCTTCCTATGACACTGCTACCTCTCCTTCTCTTCTCTCATACTGTTCCCTCTCCCTCCCTAGTCCTACCACACTGCTCCCTCTCCATCCGTCTTCTCACAGTGCTCTATCTTCATCTCTCCTCTCATACTGCTCCCTCTCCAACCCTCCTATCACACTGCTCCCTCTCCATCCCTCCTCTCACATTTATCCCTCTCCATCCCTTATATCACTCTGCTCCCTCTCCTTCTCCCCTCCCTTACTGCTCACTCTCCTTCTTTCCTTTTATACCACCCTTACTCTCTCTCTCTCTCTCTCTCTCTCTCTCTCTCTCTCTCTCTCTCTCTCTCTTTTTTTTTTTACCCCCCTCCCTCTCTCTCTCTCTCTCTCTCTCTCTCTCTCTCTCTCTCTCTCTCTCTCTCTCTCTCTCTTTCTTTCTCTCTCCATCCCTCATCTCACACCGCTCTCTCCATATCTCATCCTTTACAGTGTACTATAGTATCTCCATGCCTTTTCTCACAGCTCTCGCTCTCTTTCCATCCTCTATCTCTGTCTTTCCTCTCTGGACTTTCTCCAGCCATCCTTTCTTTCTTTCTTTCATTATGTGTTTAGATGAAGCACTGAGATCTTAAATAATGCTGAATTCAGTTTTACTTGCTTACTTGACAGCAAATGTTTATACAGCATTGTAAAGGAAAATATATATATAGGAAAATGTCCTGTGTATCATAGATAAGAATGCATATAGAGAGACTAACATAGCACTACAGGGCCATCTACAGCTCAAAAGACATAACAGTATATCAGTACATTAGAGTGTTATCAGTACATATCAGCATATGCTGCTGTATTTCCAACACCCCTTCTCAACAGCATATGCGTTGCTATATGACATTTAGCTTCTCTCGAAGGAAACTGTAACAATCCTTTGGCAATGGCTTAGTGAGTGCATCCGCAGTCATTACTTCTGTACAATCAGTACATATCAGCATATCCTGCTGTATTTCCAACGTCTTTCTATCTCTCTATCACCATCCCTCCTTTCACACACCAATCTCCATTCCTCCAATCACATTGCTCTCTATCCATACCTCTTCCTTCACAATGCTCTATCACCGCCTTTCCTCTCTGGTATTTCTCCATACTGTCTTCAACATATTTCATGCATTGTCTTTAATACTGCAATTGCAATCAGCATCCTTTTTTGAACAAACCCTTAAAATTGAGTTAAAGAATAATCAACCGAGTAAGCGAAATGTTTTCGATTAAAATCTATTGACAAAGCTCTGTCCACAAACTTGTTCTGAGATAAGAAGAGCAGTGAAGAGCAATCATTGCTCGGCACTACTGAGCATACACCATATTCTCACAAAGATGTCTGCTTTATATCAATAACTGTTCTTCCTGTAGGCTGTGTGTATCTATTACATCACTGTGCTCAATTTCCGTGCTGTGGTCACAATACTTTCTTCAGCAATAGTGACATTACTGCTTTCATTGTTTGATCATATTACTGTTGTATTTTACAGTCATACACATAGCTAGTACATCACTGTTCTCTTATAACTCTTTCCACCTCCCCAGCTCCACTAGATTACTTTCTACTCATTTACATAAAACTTTCTGTCCCTGCTTGCACATTTATCTGCTCCCTTATTGCACGTTATCCCTACTTTCCCATTGACCTCTTCCCCTCTCACACAACCTTCTCTATTTCCCTATTTTTGGGTTGCTCTCAGCATCTCTAACCAACGTTTTAATGTTCCATTTATAATGCTCTGTGCTTCTTCTCATGTGGCACCTTCTACAACACTGTCCACATCTAAAGTCATGTGTAGATAGACATTCTTTTCTTGCCTTTTAATTGCACATCAAATGCTCATTTACTTTCACGCTGCAGTGTGGAAGCCAGTTATGAAGTCTGTTTTTAAGTGCATATTGCAATCAGGGGCATTTCTTGGTTCCTAAAAGACCTAGGGCACCTTTGAGCAGCTAGACAAACATTGTAAAGGGTTGTAGTATGCCATGATAAAAAGTGGATAAAGTTGTTTCTCATTGTATATGCCTGAACATAAAAATCAAATGAATGATATTGCTTAAAAAATAAAGAAATAATAGATTCATTAAAATGTTCATAGACAAAACGATGTTCCAAAAGCGTAGTGTGCATGTTATATATATCATTGTTAATCAATGGTCTTTTTTCTTTTAAAGAATAAAAGTTTATTGCATTTTACAAAAGAATGAGAACAGTGAAGGTAAAGTATGTAGATTGCGATAGGTCTGTTATTGTTTAGTGTAAAAGAAACATGCATTGTAAGGTTCAGATAAATGTGGAGACCAAGTACTTAATTAAAATGCCACTTTCTATAATTCTCTACCCGATATTATTCTAAAGAATTGCGAGGGGGAAAATGCAGATACCAGTCATTATTGTAGAGAATTTTGATGAGCAAATGCAGTTACTAGTGGCAGCAAAAATGGATGACCAAAATTAAAGGATCATACTTCTGGGGATGGGAAAAGACTCCTGCGACACTCAGAAGAAGAGATGGGGCACAGGTACCAGTGTCTAGTAATGCCCCTGGCTTAAATGAATGTGTTTTAGCAGTGCTGCATTTAAATGTATAAGGAAGCCTCTGACAACAATGCCTGTCTACGCAAGGTCTTACACTGTTCCATTCACCTCTACAATGTGATTGTATCCCTTAGATCCCCCTTAGATCTACCAATGACCATGTAGTGCAGGAAACTACCTGACGTGACCTAAGGTATCTCTAGGCAGAACCGTTTTTTATCTAGTTTTGGTGATGGTAAAAATATGTGCCCTGGGTACCAGAGTTTAGCAATGCTCCTGGTCTAAATGAATGTGTTTTAGCAGTGCTACGTTTAAATGCATAACGAAGCCTTTGACAACAACACCTGTCTACACAAGGCCTTACAGTGTTCCCTTTACCTCTACAATGTGATT